TCAGGGTGGCGTGGAGATAGCATTAGCTAAGAGAAGCAACATCACTGAGTAGAAGAAGGGTACCAGGGAGAGTGCTATCTCAGGTATCTCAGATGTTCAGAAATCTCACCGGGCCCTGAGCTCTAGCATCCCCAGAGTTTGCACAGCCTGCTGGGAGAGGCAGTTCAGCCCCATTCCCAACCAAGTTTACCTACACCTGGCTTAGAGTTTGATGGCTTGTTTTCATGTGGATCTGAAGTTGGTGGTAATCAACATGACTGCTTCAATGTCATGCCTCATGTGCTTCCCACTACCTTCTTCATCCATCAAACTGGTTCCCTCACCCTGACCTTGCCTGAGCCTCTCGAGCCCACAGACATGGATTGCCTGCCTGCAAGGGGCACAGCCCTGTGTCAAGTGCCTTGGGAACAGTAGGAGATATAAAGCCTGGCACCTGCTGGCCATCCAGGACTTTACAGTGGAGCTGAGACATCAGCGTAGTGATGTGAAATCGGAGGATCTGGTTTCCGGTCCTGGTGCAGTACCATGTGATCTCTGTCAAGGCTCAACATCTGGGGCCCACTTTCCTCACCTGTAAAGACAGTGATAAAGCCCACCTCACAGGGTGTTTGTGAGGATTTAACTGAGGCTATGTTTACAAAAAGGAGCCCAGGTGGCGCGATGGTTAAAGCACTGGGCTGCTAACCGAAAGGTCGGCAGTTTGAACCCACCAGCCACTCCATGGGAAAAAGATGTGGGAGTCTGCTTCCCTAAACATTACAGCCTTGGAAGCCCTATGGGGCATTTCTACTCTGTCTTTTAGGGTTTCTATGAGTAGGAATTGACTCGAAGGCAATGGGTTTGGTTTCGTTTTGTTATGATTACAAAAGCATTTTGTAAATTGTAAAACCCCATGTGTCTTAGTCTAGTGCTGCTATAACAGAAATACCACAAGTGGATAGCTTCAACAAACAGAAATGTATTCTCCCATAGTCTAGTAAACTAGAAGTCCAAATTCAGGGCGTCAGCTGCAGGGGAAGGCTTTCGCTGTCGGCTCTGGATGAAGGTCCTTATCATTAATCCTCCCTTGGTCAAGGAGCTTCTCTACACAGGAAGCCAGGGTCCAAAAGACGCGTTCTGCTCCTGGTGCTGCTTTCTTGGTGGTATGAGGTCCCCCTGCCTCTCTGTTTGCATCTCTTTTATATCTCAAAAGAGATTGGCTTAAGACACTATCTAATCTTGTAGATCTCATCAATATAACTGCTGCTAATCCATCTCATCAACATCATAGAAACAGATTTTACAATACATAGGAAAATCACATAAAATGGTGGACAATCACACAATACTGGGACTCATGGCCCAGCTAAGTTGACAGATATTTTGGGGGGACACAATTCAATGCATGACACCATGCCACTGTAAAATATAAAAAACTATTATAATACAAAGTGGAATACGGTAAATGCTAATTAATTGGAAAGAACAATGCTGTGATTTCAGTTGGGCTGATTTAAAAAAAAAAAAAAAGGAGTCCCTGGGTGGCGCAATTGGTTCAGTGCCAGACTACTAACCAATAGGTAGGCAGTTCTACCCACTCAGAGTTGCCTCAGAAGAAAGGCCTGGTAATCTGCTTCCAAAAGATCACAGCCTTGAAAATCCTATGGAGAAGTTCTAGTCTGCGCGCATGGAGTCGCCATGAGATGAAATCGACTTGATGGCCAACCGGTTTGTTTTGTTTTGTAGATATATCTATATCTACATAGACATCACTGAGAAGGGGAAACTTAAATTGGATTCTAGTCAGCGCCGAGGACTAGCAGGATTTTACCTGGCCATTGTCCTCTCTGCCGCTCTGTCTGTATCTGTGTCACTTAAGTCTCCTGTGTATTCTCCCCCATTGCCTTTGCTTGTCTAAGATGCTGTGTGCCTCCACGCCTCTTTAGGGGGAGTGGTCTGCGAAGGGCTCATTTTTCTCTTTTGGGCTCTAGGTGATGAGTTGGCAGTTGTGTGCGTTTTAATCAGAAGCAATCTTTTTTTCTAGAGTATAAGAAGATTGGGAATAAGGAAAAATCGTAGCTCTAGGTTGGCCCAGCGGCTATCAAGTGGTAGGAGGAGTGAGCAGGTGGAGGTATGACGGGGCTCTCCTAGCTTTAAAATTCTTCTGAAGATGCCACCTCTTGAACCTGGCTGGCCCCAGGCTTAGCTGGATCCCTGGGCCGGGTACAGCGAGCCTGTGCACTGGAAGGGGGCGGAAGCTCGGGTGAGGGAGAGCAGGGGCGGGGCCAAGGCGGGGCTGCGGGCGCATCCAGCCCGCGTATTGGAGAACCCGCGCGGGGCTGAACAGTGAGCGCGGCTGCCCCCAGACCCTGGGCCCCTGCGCCCCTGCGCCCCTGCGGCCGGATCGTCGCACGTCGGTAAGTATCACTGCCCAGAGTCGCGCCAGCGGTGGTCTAGGTTGATGGAGGGTGTTTATCCCGTCCTCCTCCGTTCCGCCCTAGACAGACGAGGGAGACACTGAGCCCCTAATCTTGGAGCAGCTTCCAAAACCTGCGGTCACTCGGGGAGACCTGGGTTAGTGTGGAGGGTGGCTCGATGCGCTGTCGGCTCCGGTCACGCTGGGGACTCGGCGCCGAGAGGGGCTCCTGGTACATGTAGAGAAATTCGGGGGCTCAGATACGAAAGTCAGGGACAGGCTGGCATCGGGCACTGCGGACCCAGCCAAGGGGCCTACAATTTCTGAGCGCACACTCCTCATTCAGTGGGTGTTAATAAACGCCTGCTGTGGGTCACGAAGAGGTGAGCGAAAACATCTTGGCTCCTGCCCACGGGGAGCTTCCAGGCTGAGATGCAGACCTGGGCTCTCAGTGACAAACCAGGCGCCAAGGTCCAGAGCGCCCGCAGTCTGGGCGGCAGGGTCAGGGCGGTGGCTGGAAAGGGTCCTTGAAGGCTTGGGGGCCGAGGGAGAGGCCTGTTTGGCTTGGCTTGAGGGGTAGAAAACTGGTGGGACTGGAGCACTGGGTAGGCGGCGGCGAGGGAGGCTGAAGATTGCGGCCGTCTTCAGAAATACTGTGGGAAGCCATTGAAGGGTTTTGAGCTGGAGAGAGATTGGTGGACTTGGAACTGGTAGATGGCGACACATCCCTGGGATTTACAATCTGGAAGGGTGGAGATGGACCCTAGTACCAGATAAGCCCCTTTTCGTCTTCAGCCGCGTATTGGCCAAAAGTCAGATGAGTCATTCCTAGCCTCCTTCCAGCCCCAGCCGGTTGGGCTATGGGGCCCCCTGGAAGAAGAAAATGCCGAGGGCAAGCGGCAGCTGCCAGAGATTCCGTCCCTACAGTCACACCCCTCCCTTTCCCAAACCGAGGGCCATTTTAGAATCCGGACCAAGGACCTTTTCCTACTACCCTCAGAGAATACGATTTTGAGCACTAACGACAGCAGTGATTTGAGAACAGAAGCTAAGGGATATTGAGGATATTATATTGAGGCTGTTTTAAAGTGTTAATATTAGTGTGAGGAGCCTTGGCGGCGCAAAACGGTTTGGAGCTTGGCTGCTAACATAAAGGTTAGCGGTTCGAACCCATTCAACATCTTTGCAAGAGAAAGACCCAGCGATTTGCTTCCTTAAAGATTACAGCCAAGAAAACCCTATGGGCTGTTCTACTCTTATCACACAGGGTCACTGTGACTGATAACAACTTTTAGTACCACCAGCTAGAGAGTGAGAGAATAATGCTAGCCCCACACACCTCACAGAATGGTTCTGAGTAGTCTTGAAGAAAAGAAGGGAAGGCAGGGAGAGAGGGAGGAAGAAAGGAAGGAAGTTTAGATCCTAGGAATGCAGCTTTCATGACAACTTCTTTTTTGGTCACCCAGTTAACTCCATCAAATGCCGTTTTCCTTGCTAGTAATAAAAAAAGAAAGAAATTCAACAGGTTTTTAGTCTTTAATCTTTTCATTCTGTCTCAAAAAGACATGGGGTGTGTGGCTGCCAGAAGGAAGAGGAGGCAGTTCAGCCATGTTGGTGACAGTTCAGCCATGTTTGCACCTCAGCAGGAACTCCCCGAGGGAGGGCAGGGAACCCTGGTGCCAAACTCATTGTGAGCCCTGAATAAAATAAGTGATTGCTGTTGGGTTGTTATCACAATTATTCTTTGCAAAGATGTAAATATTAGAAATCCAGTCACAGAATCATTTATTTTTTCATCCTAGAAAGGATCTTAAAGAGTGTTTCCTTTATTCTCACTTTTCTAATGAAACCGAATCAGAGATAATGAAGAGACAGGCTGGTTTGTGACAAACCAGGGCTGGTTACCCCCAGGCACCCGCTTTCTTTCCAGAATACAGCACCGCTGCTCTGGACAGCACTTTGGGACAGTGGAAATCATGTCTTCAGCAATACTGGGTCTGAGTTTGAACACTCACTCTCCTGTGGACCAAGAGTATCCTCGAACAAGTTACTTAGTGTCTTTGCACTTTAGGTTCTTTAAAATGGGGCCAGTAATTGTTACCTCACAGAGCCTTGCTGAGAGTATCCAATGGCACACAGCATGGCTTTAATAACTTTTGGTGTTCTCTGATCAAATGAGGAAACTTGTTTCTCACCCTTCCTCTTGCTGATACGTTTTGTTTCTCTCTGACCTCAGGTTCTTAGAGGTAGGCACCAGCCAGTGGCTAGAAGCAGGGGTAAGCAGAAGGCAGATACCTTCCTAGCCCCAACCTGGCATTGCTGGACAATGGCAGCTGAGCCAAGGGTAACCAGGACCCTGAACTCTATGGCCCAGGCTTTGAGGCAACCAAAGGTATTCTCAACTGTGAAAGAGGAGAATTTGGACATTGAAACAGAAAAAGAAGACAGCCCCTTGGAGCAGGTATATTGGCCACAGGAAGCCACGCCAACTCCTGAGGCCTTTTCATGGCCTCCTCATTTGCTCAGTTACTGGGAGGTGGAGAGTCCCAGGAAGGGGTCCAGTCAGGAATGGACAAAGCTAGAAGGAGACACCATGGAAGAAGACATGTTGGACCAGTTGAGGCCAATGGAACCTGTACAGAAGCAGCTCCCTCAGCTGGGCAATGTGGCAGCAGCCCTGCAGGAAGCCATGAAGAGAGAGTGCTGGTGGATGGCATGGGTGAAGGTGAGGAGAGCAACCAGAGAGAGGGCGGGACCAGTTACTGGACTCCAGGAGCTCTTTCATCCTTCTCCCTGCTTGCAGGTCAAATGGAATCTGAGACTGTTCCAGATGAAAGGACACCCAGGGAAAGGAGCTGCAAGGCCTTTCTCAGCCCCTCACCCCCACCCCAGTACAATCCTGGCATCCTTTGTGGAGTCTGAAATTCATCAGAGTGGCAGCCTTTTCTCCTTTGCTTTGCTTTCCTATTTATCTTCAGTATATCCCCTTTTCTCCCCACATCTTTCTTCCCTCCTCTTTATCTTGCCTTTCCTTCCTTATCTCTGAAGTTTCTGGCTTTGTACCTGTCCTTTCATATTTCTCTCTTAGGTCTTAACCTCAGAGTTGCTGGCTTAGTGTCTGTCTTTTCATGTTTCTTTCTTCCTTCCATGGTTTGATTTTTCTCTTAGGTTTTAGTTCTCTGAACCTTGAGACTGGATGTCTGTCTGTGTATACATTTCTCCCCAACTCCTTGAGTCTCTGCTGCTATTCCAGAAGCCAGTCACCTTTGATGATGTGACAGTGAACTTCACCCAGGAAGAGTGGAAATGTCTAGATGCCACTCAGAGGTCCCTCCATCAGGATGTTATGTTGGAGACCTTCAAGAACCTGGCATCTGTAGGTGAGAGACTGGGGTTCCCTCAGCAAGCCCCTTGTCCCAGGATCCACCTGGGACATCTGTTTTCCCTGGGCAGGTAGATCAGCTTATCATGAGATTCACTGACCCCTGGTTCTAAACCTTCCACATGTGGAAGGTCTGGATCATTAAGCTTAGGGGTACAAGGAGAAGAAATGAAAGCCTGAGTGAAAGCAAAGATAACACTTGTAACATGATGGCAGTGTTCTCAGAATATGCAAATTTGCCTTGAAGCTATTTATCTAACCAATATTTACTGAGTTCCTGTGTGCCAGGCACTTTGCTGGGATCTGGCCTTTTGAATATCTCTTTTCCAGATTGTGGTTCTTAAACCAAGGACAGAGAAGATAGCTTATTGCCCCCATCACGTGTGAAGGGATCAAGCCTGGACGAACTCAACTCTTTCTCTTGTTCCCATTCCCCAGCCAGAATCTTTCTGCCTAAATCAGATCTGATCACCAAGGCTGAGCAAGCAGAGGAAGAGTGGAAAGCAGATTACCATCCCTCAAATGGAGACTACCCCCCTTTAGGTAAGAGTTGTGAAGGAGAGAGGGAGATGAAAGGGGCCCAAGGCATACCCTGGAAGGATGGAGGGCTGACTGAAAGGATCAGCACTCTCTATATCCTCTCCTAGCCCACACCTTTCCAGCCTGGTCAGACTTGGAGCTGGCAGAGACCTGAGATCATCAGCTCTGGTCCCTTGACTTCAAGAAGATTAATATTTCAGCCATTCAGGACAAGTGAATGTCTTCAGTTTCTAGGAATTGGGAGTCTACATGTCAGTTGCTTCTGTCAGTGATACCCCTTTGATTAAAAAGTTCTTTCTGAAGAAAGAGAAGCAAGGGAGATAAGCTCAATACTGGGCTGGAGTAGGGGAGACTTGTTGCTGAGAGTAGAGTAAGAAGTTGAAATTTCAGGCCAGGCTGACCACACTTTGCAGTTTGCCAGGACTGTCCTGATATATACCTCTCACTCCAGCTTAATTATTAATGGCACTGCTTTCACTCTCCAGTGTTCCAGTTTGGATGATATGTTGTATGGTCACTTATGGGTCTCTGTGAAATCTGTAGAATGTGGGTGATGTCAAAAATAAGAGGGAATGAATTTCAAGAAATGTGGTTGTAGGTTAAGATTTTGATCTCTCATGACATTGTTGAAAGATTCCAGTAAAATTTTTATTTGATTTTAATTTAAAAACCCCAAACTGTATTCTTATTTCTAGCCTATGAGTTCCAAAGAAGAGGGTGAATGTTTTGGATGAGAGAGGGAGAGTAGAAACAGGGGAAGTAGTTTGGACAGAATGGAGGGTTTGTGTTGGGGTTCTCCTGGTGAATCTTGTGTTATTCTTCATCACTACAGGAGGCAAGAAGGAGTATGAGGAACTTCAAGAGCAAAGTCAGAATTTGAGAGATGAGGGGACTGGTGATGACAAGGTCTCCCCTGCTGGGGGATGGGCAGGCCAGAGCCCACCCTCTGCTCCAGCCAGGTCCATGGCTGGGACCCCAGTGTTCCCAGCATCCCAGGCTGGGTCATCGTTTTGCTGCAACACCTGTGGCAAGTGTTTCAACAAGAGCTCCCACCTCCATAGCCACCAATTTGTTCACAACCCCAAGTGGACTTATACCTGCAGCCAGTGCGGGAAATCATTTAGGAGCCCCAGGACCCTCAGCTACCACAAGCGCATGCATCTTGGGGAAAAGCCCTTCCGTTGCTCCACCTGTGACAAGACCTACTGTGACCCATCTGGACTTAGTCGTCACCGCCGTGTCCATCTGGGTTACCGGCCCCATCCATGCCCACTCTGTGGGAAGGCCTTCCGGGACCAATCTGAGCTCAAACGCCACCAGAAGACTCACGAAGGCCAGGAGCCAGTGGCAGGGAAGCAAGGAGGTATTGTGAGGATTCCAGGCCCCACAGCTGGATTCCAGGCACCCGTCATTAGGAACCAAGCACCAGTGGCCAGGATCCAAGAGTCCACATTTAGAACCGAGGGCCTTGTGGCCCAGACTCAACCATCTAGTGTTAGGAGCCAGACATCCATGACCAGGAACCAGGTGATCTTTGTAAGAACTCAGGCACCAATCGTTACAACCCAAGGGCTTGTGCCTAGGATCTGGGCACCCAACACTAGAGACCCCTGCTTGGACACCAGGTCCAGCCCTCGCCCAGCAAGGCCCACAAGATGTAAGGTCTTCTCTTGCCCCCATTGTCCCTTCACTTTTAGCAAGAAAGCCTATCTCTTTAGCCACCAGAAGGCCCACCTCACAGAGCTGCAAAACCGCTGCTTCCGTTGTGGCAAATCCTTCAGCTCATTCTCTGGGCTGGTCAGACACCAGCAGACCCACTGGAAGCAGAAGATCTACCGTTGCCCTATCTGCGACCTCTGTTTTGGGGAGAAGGAGGGCCTTGTGGGCCACTGGAGGAGCCGCAATGGCGAGGGGCGACGCCTGGGAAGCCCCCATAAATGCTGGGTCGTCCTGGGCCAGTGGCTCGGCTTCTTTTGGGCTGCCTCCCCTATGGCTGGGAAGGGTGGGAAGCACAGAGGAAGTGGATCTTCTCCTAGGATCCCTACCCCCAGGAGAGGGGAGATAAGGGAGAAGGCATGCAAAGGAAACAATGCAAAGGAGGGTCTTGGAACATAAATAAATCTCCTTTCTGACTGAGGTCTTTCTTTGTGTTTGATTTTCCTGAGGACTGACTTCCAGGGTAAGGAGGTTGTGGTGGAGGAAAAGATAATGAAGGAAATACAGAAAGGAAAAGAGAAAAGTGGCACAGGGAAACTTGTATTATTATTAATTAGCACCTAGCCTGTTTCTTTGTGTTTGATAGACCATCAACTAGTCATCCTTGAATAAACCAGTGGATACTCTGACAGGTATGAAGATGGGAGAAGAAGGATGAGAGGAGGGAAAGAGTCTGAAGGACCCATGGAACATGTGGAAGTGGAAGGGAAACATTCTAAAGCAGATATGTTGCCAGGTTCTCTTCCCTTGCAACTCCAGTTCCTTGGTAGGCTGCTGAGACGAGATGGAGCTCTGGCCAGTATTCTGTGGGTTTCTCCACATGTCCTCACTCTGCAGCTCACTCAGCTCCCTCTTTGATGTTTTGGACTTTTCCTGTTCCTCCTCTTCTACCTTCCACACCTCTCAGCTCTGCCCAGTCAGGACTGTAGTCTCTGAAGAAACAACCACCATTTGCAAAGCTGGTGTGCTGTAATTTACGTCAAGGAAGTTCCTGGTCTCCAGTTCTTGGCAGAGGCTCTTCTGTCTGGGTTACTCTCCAGCACAGGATTTTTCCAGTGAAGGGAAATGCACCAGCATGGCCACAGCCAGAGGGCTTCCAGGTGGAAGACTGGAGAGAGGCAGGGAAAGATGCTGGCAGCAAGAATGAGGAAAGGAAGGAAGGAGCTGGGAAAAGGAAAAGGTAGATGACAAAAGAAGGAAAATCAATCCTATTTGGAATTCAGAGTACTTCTGGAAGGGCATATTGGAATGTCCCATAGCAAGGAGGCCTGTGAGGATGAAACACCCCAAGGACAAATTCCTGCAACAGCCAAGCTCTTCCTCCTAGGCTGTGACATCACTCAGAAGGGGTTTCCTAGAAGAAGGAAGAGAAAATAACTTGGAAAAATCTATGCCTTTGGCTTGTTTAAAAAATTTTGTTATTGTGGTAAGAATATATGTAACTAAACTATGTCAGTAGTTTTTAATTATGAAATTATTGAACTAGGGAAGAGGAAATTTGGCTGGAATCTTGTGTATGTGGTTGGGCAGCTGCTGTGACTGGGAATGGGAAAGGAGGCAGCTGATAGAAACTGGGATTCCTGCTGAGGAGCTCTGAAGGTGGAGCAAACCAGGCAGCAGGTGGGAATGCCCCCAGCTTCCTTCCCTGCCACCCTAACCCGAGTCTCTGACAGCTGACTCCTTGGCTTCTACCTTACAGGAGGGGGTCCTGCCTCCACCTATGTTCTCCAACCCCTCCTCTCCTGTCCTCTGGGATTTTGACCCCTCAGTAGAATAGCCCTCCTTGTTGCTTCTGTCTCCCTTTCCTGGTTTTTTCTCAGATTATAAGAAGACAACTTACTTAGCTCTGCAAGGAAGTGCCCTGAAAACAGAGAAAACAAGTAGGTGACTGGTGGAAGATGACTAGCTCCCTCTCCCACATCCTCCCTGTGGAGATCCACATGAACCATCCTTCCCTTTCCACTAAGATCTCAGTAAGTGGTTCTCTTCATGGTATTTCTGAGGGGCCGGGGGTTGAGTGTGGACAGAGGAGTTAGGAAATCCCAGCACCCAGAATCTTGAGCCCTTATTCCACCCTTTTTGTTTCCCATTCAGGGCTGACTTGGTCCTGTTTCCTGCACCGCCACTCCACCTGCTAGTCTTCGATGTAGCCAGTTGTAGCAGATGATCAAGGCAACCAGGGGTCCAAGAATCGGCACAGTTACAAACAGGGCGATCTTCCAGGCAGGTACTCTCAGAAAGTGAGGATCTGGAGTGTTCACGGCAGAATAGGATTAGTGCTCTCCCTGACGCCCCACCAACCCTTCTCCATTTATTAGGTATCTTAACCTGGGGTCCAAGAATACCAAAAGAATCTGTGAATAGAATCCAGGGAGTCCACGAACTTAAATAAGAAAAGCACTATGTTTTCACTAACCTCTGATTGAATTTAGCGTTTTCTTTCATTACAAATGTAGTCAACAAACCACAGTATCAGCAGTACTTGAGAATTTCTCATCAACAGAAAACATATTTTTATATCCCGTTAGAGTTGTTACAGAAATCTCAAATTTTCTTTATATTAATATTCTGAAATTATAATAGTTCTTAGACCTGCTGCTACAATTTGTTACTTAATGCGTTATTTTGTTATTTAAATAAACATTTACATCATTATACCATAATTTGAGTATATTTTGACAATTATATTTTAATACAATGAATTTCCTCATAATGCTATGTGTTACATCGTATATGTGCATTATTCTGGCTTCACTACATTGCTGAAGGGAGTTAAGATTTCTACTGTTAGACTCCTACAAAACAAAGATCCTATTCCTCCTCTCTGGATGTGCAAAAACTGTGTGTGTGTGTGTGTGTGTGTGTGTAAGGCCTGCACACTGGTCTGATGTCATAAACTAGAATGTGCTAGGTGTTGGGGGAGCAGAGTAGGGTTGTCTACTGTCTTAGGAGGGCTGGTCAGAGCAGGGACCATCTGTGCTCTGTTGTTGGGTGCCATTGAGTCGATTCTTACTCATAGTGACCCCATATGACAGAGTAGAACTGCCCCATAGGGTTTTCTAGGCTGTAATCTTTATGGAAGCAGATCGCCAGGTCTTTCTTCTGTGGAGTGGCTGGATAGGTTCAAACCATCAACCTTTTGGTTAGCAGCCAAACGCTTCACCTTTTTGCCACAAGGCTGTTTATTGTTCTCTGCCTAATGAAATCTTATACTTTCTGCAGCATTCATTCATTCATTTGTTCAACAAATATCTAGGTGTCCTTCTGTTGCAGGCATTGTCCTTAGGCACTGGACAATCTGCAGTGAATAAAAAAGGACAGAAACCATATATCCTTGGAGGGCTAGAATTCTAGTGTGGCTAGATGGCCTCACTCTTCCTCCAAGAAGCCTTCCTTGATTAGCCTAGGAAGCCTAACTTTATTACTCTATTTCTTCTGTACTCATGAAATCTCACTCCGCCATGAGTACAGTAAATGATATATGTATTCACTTCGTACTCCAGTTCATGTATATGTATCCCTTCCCCAGCCAGACACCAAGTTCAAGTGCAAAGGGTCTATTTGTTTCCCTTTTGTAGTTACCTGAAAAGAGAAGTAATGTGCATAAAGTGCTTGCAGTTCCTACAAAGTGAGTTAACATACATAAAGCAGTTAGACTAGTGCCTGGCACACAAAAGTGTTATATAGGTATTTGGAATAATTTTATCAGTCCTAGATACAAATGATTTACAAAGAAAGAAAAAGAGAGGGAAGGAAGGAGGGGACCAGCCTGGAGCCAGGTGTCCTTGTTCCCCCAGGCAACTGGTTGTTGTTGTTATGGTGACCCCATGTGTGCAGAGTAGAACCGCACTCCATAGGGTTTTTCAAGGCTGTAGCCTTTCAGAAACAGATTGCCAGGCCTGTCTTCCAAGGTGCCTCTGGGTGGGTTCCAACCTCCAACTTTTTGGCTAGTAGTTGAGTGCTTAACCGTTTGCGCCACACAGCCTGAGTGAAACACCAAGCTGGTCAGAGATGGCCACGATATGCCAGCACTTACCAAAAGTCCGGTGGAGATTCTCTGAAAGGAAAAATGGGAATGCATTTAGTAGGACAC